TTGCCCTAGAAGACAAAGCGTTAAATAATTGTGTTCGCATCTGTTTTCACTTTTTTTCGTTTTGCTTTTTGTTCTATTTTTTGTTTTGTTTTGTTTTGTATTTCTTAATATTATTTCTATTATTGTATAGTATGTCGTTGAATCGCCAAGTGGTTGTTGATCAAATTGTCATTCAACTCATTTGTTATTACACTTCCGTCCGCAAAGTGCCAATGCCAAAAAGTTAGCAACAACAAACAACGAAGGATTTTTAATGCGGAACAGTGCTGCTTTGTGTAATAATATATTTCATATGAATGTGTACAGAATAGAGCAGAGAAAGACACATACGCGACATACATACTGAAAGTGTTATCCGATAATAATGTGAGCAAACAAAGAGAAATTTAGAAGTATACAATATTGCCGAAAGATTGATTTATTGCTTATAAACCGCTGACTAATATGAAACCATTTGGTCCGCTGGATAGTTTTGTAAGAAATATGCCAGTATAAGGGCATTAGAGCAAGATATGTTTGGTGATTCCGGTGATACTTTTTGAAAGAAATCAAGGTTCTTTCGTCAAACTAATATCGGTATTCTGCTTGAGACGATTGTGTCTCATGTGTCTAATTGTCACAATTGTAATTTAGTGATTCTGTTAGTCAAGAGTCTCATTTTGGTATTCTGACAGAATATTTTTTACAGTACACTACTATACTGTATACTGTGTTAGTTTTAATTTTTTTTTTTTTTTTTTTTTTTTTTTTTTTTTTTTTTTTTTTGTGATATTTTCGGCAATTGACCTTCTTGAACGTTGTGTATCTTTGGCATCAAAATTACGAAAACGCTTTTTAGCCTTTATGGAATATTATACATAATATTAATATTAATATATTCTTTGCTGGTGTTCATTTTTGGCGCGCACTATCAGAAAACTGTCAGAAAAGTTTTTTAGTAAGAAATCGTATCTTTCTAATGCTTAGACCTAAGGTCTATTGTGCCATCCTCTAAGTCACATTGAAGAATTCTAATATACTGCTACGTGCTGTTGAGACAATGTGAACCCTGTTAGGAAACATGGATCTAAGGTCGTTTAACCTGCGTCTACAGACAGCACATGTTCTGGAGCTTCCGGATTCATGTCGCAGAACCAGTAGGTTGCACAAGCGGCTAGGTCTATGTTAACTAGCCGGAATTTATCCCGGGGAATTTGATTATGTTTTTAAGCCTGCTAAGATTGTAACCACCCACTAGCAACTTGTCCTGACGCAGGTCTTAGAGTTTTTGCCAATACTTCTCTCTGCCTGCTCTTTCCTCCTTACAAAGCCGCTGCTTTATGGTATGAGGTGATTGCTGCAGTTCAGTCCTGGCTATACCCATGCGACGGCGCACCTTGACGGCGAACTGATTGGCTTTTCAGCCATTCTAAACACTCCTGCACCTGTAGCGCCACACAATTACCGCTGAGTATGGCGATACTTTCGTTGCGATAGTTGTGTTGGAAATTTATTTCCACACCGACTTATAGCTAAGACTTCTGCTTGGAATACGTTCTAAAAATTTCCCATAGGTATTGAGAGTTTGGTACGTAGTTCTGCTGCTCCTGCACCAATTCCCTCTAACGTTTTCGAGCCTTAATTGCGCTGTCCCTAAAATGTAGTTCGAGAGTGGAATCATGCCTTGCAGCCTTACTGCTAAAGGTAACTTTGAACTTCCTAGAGAAGTTTACCATACCCTTTTGACAATGCTGTGCCTTTTAAGAAGAAGCAGTGTCATTTCAACTCTTAGGGTCTTCATTTGTTGGGACGAGACTACTTTTCCTCTGCTTAACCCTTCTACTTTCATTTGAATCTGTGTTTGCCTGTTTGATTTACTACTAGATGTAGCGATGTGCCTTCCAGCATGAATTCAAGTGCTGCCGTCGGACACGTATGAGTTGCTCCCGACGCGTAAATGCAGATAAGCCATTGAAGCCTCGTTAGCACTTATACAACGTGAAATATTTTCTATTTCTAAAATCTTCTGTTTGAAATTTAATGAATTTCTCTTTACTACACGTAATAAAATAGTTCAAATAAATATCATTATTTATTACCGAATTCTTTGGTTACAGAAACAGTTTAAAGTCCATATCATGCATTTCACCCAAATCAACAACCATTCGGTACAGTACAAACTAAAATTTGATTAATACAATGAGTGCTAAGCGAGTAACTCAAGTTTTGCAGCAGCTAATTACTTACATACATACACATTCTAAACAATTTGATGCAATAATTTACTTACTTAATATTATCTCGACAATGAAATCTAGAAATAAACTTATCATATATGAGCTTCAAAAAAGGTAATATACAGCTGTAAACGCTACATAGCTTGAATTAAATGATATTATTTTCAAATAAAATACTTATTTTTACTTTTTTTCTCTCATTTTATTGAAACTTACGTTAAACTCAAACTCTATTCGAGTAAAAATTTTAATTAAAAATCCCTTTTTTTTTGGACGATTTTAACAAAAATCTGTGGAATCAAGGATTTCAGTGCGACAGCTAATTAGAAAAATATTTTATAAGCAAAAAAATATTGTTATTAAAAAAATTGCTTACTTTCAGTTAGTATTTTGTTACCTAATCCTTTACATTAATACTGCTTCACGTCGATTCTGAATTTACGTTATAAGACTCTAACAGCGCACCATAAGTGTTGCTTCCCCAGCCGTCCTAATTTCATCAAAAATTACTTCCATATTTCTAATATTTTTGGTATCTTCAGCTTTTTTGACATCAACAGAAGTGCGTTCTCTTCAGGCCACTCTAAAACATTCCTGGAATTTTCAACAAAAATCTTGGTGTCAACATTTCCGAATTTCCATATAACAGGCAAATTGCTACCATAGACTAATGGCAGAATTACATTTTTTAGAATGCAAATCACTTCATTCACTACCCGTGAAACATAGCGAGGATCAAATTCTTGATATATTGGTCGGCGAACATACCTTCGCCCATCAGGAGCTATGCGATTAATTTTAGTTACATCGCTCCAAACAAGAAACTTGATTTGTTGTCCAAGATCAATTAAAGTTGGAAAAGTCTATGCGTTGTTTACTTTGAATTTTAGTCAGAAGTGGTTTCCTGCATGCCTACCGTGGAGTCCAAATTCGACCAATCTCCGGGAAATTGTGTTCTTGAATATTTGGACATTATATTCGTCTTGAGTTTTATGTAGAATATCACTTTTTTGGATCTCTTTGGGCGATGGTAGTAATTCAGCTGTATATTTCTGTTGAAATTTTTAAAGTTTTTTCTTTACGTGAAATATTGAAAATAGTTTTAAAATTCTGTATATGCTTAAGGACATTGAAAGCAATTTGTTTCTTTATACATCTTTCAAGACTCACGAAGGTCAAAAATGTAACCAAGTAGGGCAGGTATACAGCTGCAGCTTTTTCTCATTAAAAAAATTTAACAATATATTTTAATACATTTGAAGCCACAACTTTGAAACACATCCTTACCAGAAATCAATAACTTTATTAATAAAAATTAGCACCAGAAGGAATAAAAAAGACAGCGTTTCTAATTAGTTGTATATTTATATACTGGGTTTTCCAATAAGGATGATAAGAATTCAAAATCATATTTTTATTATGCCATGATCTGTGATTTTCATTGTCATTGACTAACTGAAAGCATTCGACAACCGTAAACGTCATGAATTTGCTAGTTTTGCCTTGCAACAACTTGAAAACGATTTCTTTAAGGAAATCATCATCTCCGATGAGGCCCACTTTCATCTGAGTGGTGCGGCATATCAACAATACTGTCGATTCTGGCGCAAAGAGAATTCATGAATTATTCTTGAACTACCATTACATTCTCCTAAATTGACAGTTTAGTATTTTGGTGTCATCGGTTTGTGCTTCTTTCGAAATTTAGCTGGTAACACCATGATTATTTTTATGGCCGCAATCGGAAGAAGTAAATTTGGAAAACCTCTGGTTCCAATAAGACGGGGCTACGCGCCACACAGCATGTGCAACAACCGAATTATCGCGAAAAAATTTTGAAGATTTTGGTTTTCGTTGGTTTTCCCGATTTCTTGAAAGACAACTGATAAATGAACGGCTGCGTATCAGTCAGAATTTACCGTACTTTGCTTATTCTAGTCTTTGGTTACGTGATGTCCACTTTTTCCAAAAAAAAAAAAAAACAGGCAACCAATTTCCTTCATCTTTTGTCCTTCCGGTCAAGAGATCGTTGAAGACATGCCTCGTTCTGAACGATCTTCGACCTTTTAAACTGATGAAAATATTAAGAAAGTGTTTGGTATGGCGCTTAAAATTCTTCAGACAAATGTTAAAGAGATGGCAAGAGATTTTGGTGGATATTTTGAGCACGAAACGTGTACCGATAAAGCTGAGTAAGTCTCTTTGAACATGCTTATAAGCATAATAACTGCCGATATGGGTTTCTGAGTTTGTCATGCAAAAAAGTCAAAAATCATCGAATTGGAGGGAAAAAACGAGCCCAAATGAAAAAAAAACCTCAAAGCCGTTCAAAAATCAAGAGGATTATCATTGTTTTTTTCGATGTTCGTAATTTGGTGCATCACGAATTTTTTTCTGGAGGGACAGACGGTCAATAAAGGCGTTTATTGAAGCGTTTGCATGAGAACATCCCTCAATAACGGTCGGAATTGTGGAAGACCATGCCATGGATTTCACTTGATGATAATGCACCATTGTATCGAGCCACAATTGTAACCAAATGTGAAGTCAAAAACGCAATGAATACCATCGATCAACCAAATTTGGATCCGTGTAATTTTTCTTGTTCCCCAAACTGAAGTAGCCGCTCCGTGGAATTTGTTTTCAGTCGGTCGAAGAGATAAAACAACGATGAAGAAGCAGAAGGCCATTCCATAAAGTGATTATGAAAAGTGTTTCGAAGACTGGAAAAATTGTTGTCATAAATGTATTACATTTGGGGAGATTACATTGAAGACAACAAAATTAATATTGATGAATAATTAAATATTTTGCGTTTTATTTACAATTACCTGGTACTTTCTGGATTACAAACTGGTTTACCATACTTAAATATGTTAGTAAGAATTAGCCACTTCTCATGTTTAGTGTTTAGTTTAGCACTAGTTCAAGGAACTTTACAATGTTTATATACAAATTTCTATATTCACTATAATTTACTATTTACAGTCTTATTAAAAATTGTTTGAAATCTGTTAATACAAATAACTTAAATTAGTTAAGTACTTTGTGTCTGATTCATATTTAAAATTTGCTGTATCACTTGCTGAACACTCTTCAAGCGATTCATGGTGAAAAATTGAAATCCATAAACATCCAAATTACTATCCAACAATATTTGCACCGTGCGCACCGCATTCTCCACCGCATACGCCTTAAATGCCTTGCGGTCTTCTTCCAGTTCTTTATATTTACTCAACTGCTCTTCGGGAATCACCGCCTTCACGATGTTCATTATGAAATGCAAGATCCGCATGTTATCCGGCACAATAACGCCGACAATGATCGGCACCGTAATACCGATTTCGCGGCATTTCTGCACAAAGCTTATAATGGACTCCGGCGTGAAGCAAATTTGCGTTACGATGAAGTCGGCGCCGGCATCCACCTATTGCGTAGACAAATAAATATAAATAAATACAAATATAATAATTGCGTTTTCATTAATGAGTGAACTAGGCAAATATTAAATGTTTTTAATTACTATTTATATGCTTCATTCGGCTAATTTGTTGGAATTTTTTTTTTCACCTACCGATTTTTCACCAAATGACAGGGGATTTTTCTCGCAAACCAAATATTAATAATTGCATTATATCCGGTGTTTAAGTGTCGGTTAATGAGCTTAATCAACTTGTCGAGTTTTGTTTTAAAATCGCTTGCTCATATAGCTTTTACGTTGTTCTACTTTTTTGAGATGGTCATTCAGTAGTCTCAAGTATGTTAATTACAAATTTTCTAACAATGAAAGGGGAATTACACACATAAGCTGGACGTACTAGTCAAGTTAAGTGTGTGCCTATCTAACAACTGGTAGAACATTAATTTATATTTTGTATATTATAAAACTCGAAAAAACATTGAGACTGCTAGCTACGATCTTCGCTCGTCATAATCATAGTATTAACCGGAAACTACAAATTTTCAATTGACTTCAACCAAATTATCGTTTCAGAAACATTTTTATTCTACAAGTACATATATATAATTTAGAATGTTTCGGCTGCCAAGGAAAGACTTCAATAGGTAGGATAGACCTTTAGTGAAGCTAATTTGCACCTTCTATCATTAGCTGAGCCTCAATGAAGTCAATTATAAAATTGCTCAACAAAAAGGCAAATGTGTCTTGAATGAAATTTGTAACACACATTCCGACTATTAAAACTCTAAAGCACTTACATAAGAGCTAAAGTTTCAAGAGCTTTAGTAGAAGTGCTTACAGGGTACTAGGAACATCATATAATGGATAGCTATCAGGATATTCTAAACGAATGCAAAGAAACAAACCGTTATTGTAATGATAAATATCAACTAATCTAGTCATTGATCTCAATCCGTCCTTGTACACTACTTGAAAAAGAAAACTTTCACATGAAAATTGTGATAAAGACTGAAAAGTACAAAAGAGCTATAGTCAAGTAATAAAGTGTAATAGTTCTAGATTGCCAGATTACGCGCGAAATTATAGCGGGTTTTTGAATAAGAGCGAACGGTTTGGGATATAATGAAATTCTTACTCCTGTGAAGGTACATTCGATGTATGCATGGAACTCCATTTCGCTAGCAGAAGTCCACATGTTGAACCCAATTTTCGACGGTTTTCGAGCATAAATCGGCCTATACTGCTGCAATTTCACATTCGAAATTCGTTCCAAGTTCATCAATCGGCGCTGACTTGTTGGTATAGATCATAGGCTTGACGTAGCCGCACAGGAAATAGTCTAACGGCTTCAAATCGCACGACCAAGGCGGCCAATTGACCAGCCCATTTCGAGAGATAACACCAAACTTGGTTTTCAATAAAACGACTTTGACATTCGGTATGGCGCTTGTGGCGCCATCCTGTTGGAACCACATATTGTACAAGTCCATGTCATCCAATTTATGTTAGAAATATTCACAGTAACGTGCCGGTCTTGAACATCAGGGAAGATGTACGACTCAATGACGACGCCGGCTCATAAGCCGCACCAAACCGTCTTTTTTTCGGGATGCAATGGTGACTCATGGGGTACGTGTGGATTGCTGCCTGACCAATAACGCAAAAAATGATTATTGCTTATCATTATCAAGCCCTGTTTACGAACATGCGACGATTCTTTTCGTCACAGAGATGTTCAACGCTTGAGAACGTCGTGGGAGAGACTGATTTGCGTCTTTCTCAATTGATGCGCCAGCGGCAGCAATATTCTCGACACTACGGACACTTTTTTATCTCACTGGCATGGGAACAATGTACTGTGCCTGTGAATTCAAATTTTTCCACCTTAAATTGAATGGAGCTGTCTTAGAGTTAAGGCCACTGACTCCGAATTTAGGTTTGTAGTAACTTTTAATAATTACGAGTTGTCGTTGGACGAAATGGCAAACCTTACTGAAGAGAAATGACAAAAGGGCGGGAAAAAATGTGACGTCGTTTGCTGTCCCTATCGACTATCGCTACTTTTGTAGCGTCCCTATTAAAAAACCCGTTATAATCTTAAAATTAAATCGATTTGTTCTTAAAAGTTGCAGTGTTTACACAGAAATGAAACAAAATCGACGAGTTTCATAGTATAATATGTTAGTAGTCACACATAAGCCATGCGTCATTTAATCTTGCTTTCGAATCTTTATTGAATAATTTAACATTGAAACAGATTTATTGACTTGAAGAGTAATAATCACAAAAATAACTAATACTGACTCAAATACAAAAATAGTTCTTTCATGTTGTTGTTGCAAAAATGCTATAAATCCCAACAAATGGAATCGAAGTTTATTTTTCTTGCTACCATATGTGAATGATCAATGGTTCGTAATGTCAAAAATTACTTATATGGACATGATTTTTTATATTATTTTTCACATTAACGCATACAAGGTGGACTAAAAATAGTATGACGTAAAAGTGCGTCAATTTCTTATTCTTTGTCTGTTCTTGTTTTCTAAAATTTTGCTATGCGAATAGAGGGTGTTAAAACCTGTTAGTAATTAGTAATGAAAACGATTACTTGATTTCACTAATAACAAAAATTATATCTATTGGTTTTCATAGACCTAAAAACTAGTAATCAATTGTAAATATAAATAAACTCTGCTTTAACGATTAAGTATAGTCATGAATATTTAAAATATGTGTTTTTTTTTTTTTTTTTTTTTTTTTTTTTTTTTTTTTTTTTTTTTTTTTTTTTTTTTTTTTTTTTTTTTTGATTACTTTAATTAATTGTGCGAGTAATAATTAAATAATAGTGCACAATCTATATAAAGCTACTGCAAAATATCGCAATAAATGTCCAGTGCAATGACTTTAAATAATCATTATTTAACGCTTCTGCTGTCAACAGTGCTTAGTTAATGTTAGCTTTGAATAGTATGTTAACAACATTCCTGTTAAATTTTGCGGTTTACTTAGAGAATGTTTAAAGGTATTTTTTACATTTTCTGTTTTGGTATCTATTTTAATATATTTCAACAATTTTTCACATATTAACATATATTTTTTTAAGAGTCATAATTGCAAAATCGAACTTTGATAATTCTTCTTGTTGTCTAATAATTCAGCATATTTATTCTAAATACGTTTTTACACATAGTGACCAAAATATTTTGATTTTAGTACTTTATTCGGAAATGTGAACTGTTCAGATTTAATACTCTAAAATGTTTACATTTATTTTAAAACAAACAATATTTAGATTATGAATTCATAACTAGAACTCTCAAAAGGGAAAGTTCCGCAACAGTCATTAATATATTATGTAACTTTTTTATAAGCTTTTTTATTTCGAATTCTCTATGTTCAATATAAAGACAATTTTTCCTCAGAAATTTTTATTTTTATATATTTTATGAATGAGTGCAAATCTCTTCTTCGAATGTCACGTTGTCACGTTTTTGAAAACAGTCTTAATCAGGCATCAATCGTGTTTCCAATCTGTAAACTTTGTTATTATATTTCAAAGCATATTTTTCTTTTATAGCACATAAAATATAAGCTCTGTAATTTTTTATGTATTTTTTAAAGATTTTTGAAGTTATGCATAGAAGAATACTTGTATATATTTTTTAACAGGTGTTCCTAATAAAGAACCCCTTTTTCAATAGGCTTTTTTTTACATTTCACATACAGCATGTACAAGAACTGAAGCTAACCTTCCCATTGCTTCGCTTTATGGGCTCTAAAAAAGTTCCAAGAAGATCTGAAGTTTTCAAGATAAATTTTTTTTTAGCAGTCAGGTCCATTTTATGCAATATTTGTGTAAACAAGCCAAATGTCCACATTTGGGACGAAGAGCAACTTGAAAAGATTCAACAGCTGCCATTTCATTCAGAAAAATCAACGGTTTGGTGTGGTTTGTGAGCCGGTGTAATAATCGGTTCCTATTTCTTAAAAAACGGTTAAAACGTAACCGTCAATGGCGACCGTTAGCGCTGCATGATAATCCGACTATTTGATGCCTGAAATTGAAGCTCACGATCTCGGCGACATTTGGTTTCGACAAGAAGGCGCCACTTCCCACACATTGCACCAATAAATGAATTTATTGAGAGAATACTTCTGGGAGCAGATATTTTCACGATTTGGGTCGGTCGATTGGTCACCAAGATCGCGTGATATCACACCGTTAGACATTCTGCTGTGGTATCCCCACAAGTCTAAGTCCCACAATCGAACAATCCCGTTTCTATTCAGGCCTTGGAGCAAAACATGACGTACGCTATTCATCAGTTATCAACGGATAGCCCATCTGAGACGTAGCCACGGCCGACATTTTAATTAGATAATCTTCAAAAATTAAAGGCCAAATAATGTTATTTTAAATTAATTAAAAAGTGGAGAATCTCGAAATGGATCACCCTTTATATTTACGACAAACGTTCGAATTTATTACACTTCATATTTACCGCACTATATTTTTTGGTTTTTATCGAAGAGAAACTTATGTCAATTAAGAGAATTAGTAGATTTATACAAATTGTGTTAGATTTTAAATTTATTTGTTCCAATTAAAAATAGTCAGCACCAATGCAAACTAAAAATGTCACGACAAAATCATATAATTTTTCAATACACGCTTACTGTACCATATAATTAAAACGATATACAACACTGCAGATAATTTTTCACTTAAACTGTTCCTCGATACGATGAGAAATTTTCGATGAAGGCACAAACAATGTTTATACTACTGTGATCAAATTGAAAGGTGAATTTTGCCCATTTTATCGCCTTCATAGTAATCCCCTCCCGCTGCAAAACATTTATGCCAAAAATTTTCCAGTCATCATAGCACTTGGAAAAATCATCAGTCGTAATGGACGTCAGAGCCTTTTTCGATTCAGTTTTTATATCCTCAATTGAGTCAGAACGGTGTCCTCGGAGTGGTCATGTGAACTTGCTGAATAGCCAGATGTTACACGAAGGTAAATTAGGCAAATGCTGTGGTTGCGACACGATATTAATTGAAAGTGTGGCGAAATTATCACCAATAACCAATGCAGTATGAGATGATGCATTATCGCACTTTTTTGTTCAATATATTCAGACAAAAATCGAGGAATTCACTTTTAGAGCCTCACAAAACGACGCGTATCTCAAATAATAATTAATATTTTGACGTGAAATTTAGCACAGTGCTATCAATTTACAAAAAAAAATTTTGGAATTCGAAAAACTACCTTTCAATTTGATCACAGTAGTATTTGGCGTTATAAAAATGAATGGAGTAAAACCATTTGAAAATATAAAGATATTAAAAAACCTAAACAGCGTTAACTTCTGATCATTTGAATATATTATATATTGAATAAGGTCTCCGACGTTTCCTTTTGCTACAAACAACCTGGCAAACTTAAAATTCCCTGTTCAGGGTATAATAAATTTAACTAAGATATAGTTATAAATGTTAGCTGGAAGCAAAATAAAATCATTTGCCTCTATATTTGGTTTAATTAACCGTATCGAGGTTCTATTTTATTTCTAATAATTTTATTAAAGCAAAAAAGAACGGAAATTTATTTTAATAACTGTAATTTATGTGAAGACTAAATATGTTAGAGCGATATAATGTGATCGATGGATATATATATACATACAAACGTATTTTATATGTTTTCTTTTCTTATCATAAATAATATATAAACCTTTAACGAACACTGAAACATACATATGTAATAGAAGTACGTACAGTCTATATAAAGCGTCTATCAGTAGGGAACAATATTCTGTCTCTTCTGTTATGGCGTCATTATCGGTCCCTAATTCGTTCGAAATGAGCAGAAAATGCCATCACCAGCAATAGCTAGCTTTATTTTTACAAAAAATGTTTTATTGTGTGACCTAGTTATGTGTGAATCTCGTCGACAGGTGTTTCATTCAGTTTCGGAAATTGCAATTTTCCAAAATTTAGCGAAAACACAATTTTTTTGCAAATTTTTATTTTTCCGAAAATTACGTTTTCTGAAAAATCAATTTTTTTCGCAATTTTCATTTATTCAAAATTTTACTAAACTTAAATTCTTTGAAAAAAAATTAAAAAAAAAAACACATGTACCGAAATTTATATATTTTCGAAAATTACGTTTTTTTTTTAAATTTCATTTTTCGAAAACTTAATATTTTTTAAATCATGTCGTGGAATTTTCAACTCAATAGTTGATTTTCCGAAATTTATATATTTTCGAAAATTACGTTGTTTACGAACTTAATTTTTGTAAAATCATGTCGTGGCCAGGAGTTTCGTTCAGTTTAGGAAATTGCATTTTTCAAAAATTACATTTTTCGAAAATTTCAGTTTTCACAACTACATTTCGCTAAAATTAAATTCTTTGAAAAATAAAATAATAAACATTTAGAAAATTTTATTTTTCTAAAATCGTCGCGTGGACAGGAGTTTAATTATACTTCAATTTTAGAATATTACGATTTTCTCAAATTATATTTATTTATATTTAAATTATATTTTTTCGGAATCTTTAAGGCATCTTTAATTTTGCTTTTTCGAAAATTGCGTTATTCAAAAATTTAATTTTCGAATATTGCATTTTTCTAAAACTATTATATATCCATATGTAAAAACGTACATGCACACTTATATATGTACATATGTGTATCAAAATTATATTTTTCCGAAAAAACATTTTTCAAAAATTTAATTTTTCGAATTTTATATTTTTATATTTGTAGTTATTTTTCGAATATAACGTTTTTCAAAAATTACATATTTCGAAAATTATATTTTTACGAAACATGTACTTCGAAATAATATTGGTCCCCTATCAACTATTATCACAGTCTTACAATTATTATTATTATATATAAAACCCACCTTCTCTTTGAGGTACTTCATATCTTCCTCCATTGACTTAGATTCCGGATGTCCTTCAGGATATCCGCCAACGCCTATAGATATTGTATCTGCAAATGGCAAAGAAAGAGAGCTCAGAAAGTGAACTTAAAAGCTTTCAGCTAGCAATGCGCGTGTGACAAAGCAAACAAACAGAAATCTAGCTAACTCCACTCATCTATCAAGAGAGAGAGCTGCCAATGCATTCTGCTATCAGCTCGTGTAATCAACTATTAAGTATTATTGAAACACATGCAATGCGCTGGCAATTTGCACAGATGTAATAAAATGCACGGTGTTGAATATGACAACAACAAAATCAAAGACTAATTTTTAATATTTGGAATTGCAACAATAAATTACTTCAATGGGTAAGCACCAATGTTTTACAATCATGACAAGTAACTACTATCTATAGACACAGTATAGTATTATATATCAGTATAAGCTCGCTAGAGTGTCACTTACCGCCGCGTTTACTGTGTATATACTCGACCATGTCTTTTGCATGCTGAAATTGTTGTTGTGGCACCACATCATCGCCGCGCAGCACCAAAACATTCGTGAAGTTCAGTGTTAAAAAGTCGTCGAGGCGCCGGGAGTCGGCGCGATAGCAAGTGAAATGTGGCAACACCACCACATGTTGTTGTAGCAGGCGGCCCAAACTGATTGCCTCAATCGCGTTGACATCCTCAACGTTCGCATAGTCCCGACCCAACCACACGAGCGATGTGAAGAGCGGCAGCAGCACGTCAAAACCATTGTAGTCCAGCAGTGATGGTTGCTTGCCATAAGAACGAGCCGTCAGCTCGATGCCATAGAAGAACTCTTTGGCGGCGACTTTTTGCTTGAAAAGCTCAGCCAACTTACGCTGTTCGGGCGGCTGCTGTTTGCTGGAGAAACGCACAAAGACCGGATGAAATTCCGGCCGCGGCGCTGTTGGAAGCGGCACGTGTCCACCGCAAATGCTCGTAGTCGCATTGCAACTGTTCGTCGCCGGCACATAGTCGGGATTATGCATCGTTTTTTGTATTCTTATATCACTTGTACGCAAATTTTGTTTTACAACTGAAATTTTGTTTTGATTATGCGTTAGCGGCACTTTTGTTGTGCGTCCGTATCCGCAGGCGATAGCGATCTGATTGATGAATAGTTTTTCGAACAACTGAATGCGTTCGCTGCCATGGAGTGATATTGCTGATGACTTAAGTGTCGCGTAAAAAGCTTTACTGCGCTCGCAATTCGGCGGTGTTTTGAGCGCCATTAGGGTGGTCGTGTTCAAGAGCTGCCGTTTGCTTAGTACACAAACACAGCTTCAGCCTCTCTGGTATGCGTAGATGTGCGCTCTTGATTAGAAGGAAAATCAGAAATTTGATTGACCCAACTTTGACATACAGTGTCGGAAATAATAATAGAAATGTGTTATTTGAACTTTTTCGCAATGCTTTCACTTCGTCTTGCTTTCGAATATCAATATATAGTGGTATTATTTCAACCAATATTATTAGTGTGTTTGTCTATCTTCACGCTAAAATTTCGGGTCTATTTTTGACGCTAGATTTCAAAAAAAAAAATACACACGATACCATCCTGTTTTCGACGCTTTCTTAAATGCAGCTCCTCCGATACGCGTAGTCTATCTTTTTGCAGTATATTTCAGTATCAGAACCTGGAAACCAAAAAGGTTTATTTTGCTTAATGTTTATATTCCCAGTTATGTTTGCACACAAGCTTTTGTGAATATTGAAAATTTGACGGAAATTTTTCGAATATTACATGTCATTGACCATAATTTCCAAGCTAAAACAAAATATAAAAAATCAAAAACAGAAAATTCAAATTAATTCTTCTTCTTTATTGGCGTAGATACCGCTTATGCGTTTATAGCCGAGTTTATAACAGCTCACCAGTCGTTTCTTCTTTTAGCAAGGTGGCGCCAATGAGAGAATCCAAGTGTGGCCAGATACTTCTACACCTGGTCATTTCAATGGAGTTGAAGTCTTGCTCTTCCTTTGCTTCCTCCGCCGGTTACTGTGTCGAATACTCTTAAAGCTGGAGTGTTTTCATCCAACCGGACGACATAACCTAGCCCATGTCTATTAATTCGCTGAACTAACTGAGTGACGTCATATATCTCGTATAGCTCGTGGTTCCACCAACTGCGGTATAGCAGGACAGGGATGATGAGTGACTTGTTGGTCTAGTTCGTCAGGAGAGGACTTTTCTTCTCAATTACCTATCCAGTCCAAAGTAGCACTTGTTGGCAAGAGATATCCTGCGTTGGATTTCGAGCCTGATGTTGTTGTTGAAAGTTATTAAAGAGTCTGTCGAAACCAATAGAGCAATCTCAAAGCATTTAGAGTGTGGTTCAGTCAATAATTGCATAAATCTTTGGTTCTTGCTTCAAGCGCCTCTTCTGACATCATTCCTATTGGTAAAAAATATTTTCAATAATATCTTAAAATTTTGTGAACCCAAGGAGACGTGTAAGGCCAGGGATATTCTGGGTAATAAAGTTATATATGCTAAGACACGAAATAAAAAATTACAAAAGTGGTTTTTAGTATGAAAAAATGTTTACTGTAAAAGACATTGGAAAATATATAAATCTCTAAAACTCCGCCAAATTGCTCATTGGGGGATGTCTTATGATTCATAGGGGGATGTCTTATGATTCAGTTAAAAATTTTGAATATATTTTATAGTTTTGTCAGAATCGTTGTATAACTAAAAAAAATCTAAAGAAACGCCTCTAAAGATAGATGATAAAATAAATAATCAGCACGGAATGGCTTTGGGTTCGACATCTCATAAACAGACATGCTCACAGTCAAATTCTTCAAGGGGCATGTTTATAGTTGTGTTTACAACGGAAAATATGCCAAATACTTCGATATTTCTAAACGTTATAATCTAGAGTGCCAGAATTCGGTATTTATGAAGAATGAAACTTGGCAAAACTACGCTTTTCAGGGTATAAATCCTAAAGGATAATTACACCTCATGGAACTAGGAACTAAAATCAATCTTGCATGCCAAAGGACCAAAAGTAGCCTATGCGCTGCTCATTGATCTACCAGATTAACCTGACCAAATGAATTCTATAAAAACAAGAGCTGAGACTACCCTATCAAAGACTTTCTAGGCCCTAAATACAAACGATACACAGTGCTTTTTTGCTGTATATCATATTTATACCTTGAACAGGGTACAATAAGTTGGCCCAAAAGAAAATGTCAGAGAACCTTTAAGAACATTGTGAAAATGATCAGCGTAACGAGATGAGTCGATTTAGCCGTGTCCGTCTTTCTGCCCGCCCTTCCTACCATCCTAGTACCTCAGTTTTCTAAAAATTTGCGTCAAAACTTAACCAAGCCTTATATTTGTAGTTGCTTTGTATTTATTGCGTGATCTAAGCGTGTATTCTTTTGCCTTTGGCTTACATATTTATGGAGCTCAGTTGTACATAAATATAACTTTTATATGCAAAACATATGTCAAATTCATCTAAGGTATTACAAATTATTACTTTGGAGAATCACTTAATTTACTCACTCTCTTTGTCTCTTAAAAGCTCTGCTCCGCCTATTCCATAAAGTGGTATTTACTCACATGTTTTCTGCCGACATACAATTGGTATGTATATATGTACATACTAATATGTAAATTCTGGTGATTCCTCCACAGAAGAGTAGATTTATATGTATTTAGTCATATGCATTGTCTTGTTTCTCTTTCATTTGCTTGAATGATAAGGCAAGCTACTGATAGGTCGTGTAAGCTTTGTTAATACAAAAATGCAAGTCATTGTTTTTGAGAGCATATTTAAATATAATAAAATATTTTCAAAAATATTTATATATAAATACATACGTACTAAAACTTTACTAGTTATTAGAATAAACAAAGATTGAAAATGGCCCGCCATCTTCATATAAAAGTCGGGTCTTTATTTTCTAATTGTAATTCTCATTAATGATTTTTAAGATTTGCGGTAATCGTGGGGTTTTTGATATGACGGCTAAGCACTATGTTTAAACAGTAATAGTTGAGTTCCATCATTAGCTCAAACTCTTAGAAGGAATTTCAAGAAAACATTTCATTGAAAACTGCCGGTAGTTTTTAGCATTTACAGATTTGCTGTAACTGCGCTATGGAACAACAGCTTATGTAGCCAATTCGTGATAAAATTTTCGAAAGATTTTTTTCTAATGCCTGCCTATCTTAAAAGCACTCTTCCACATTTAAGGTCTTTTAAGATTGACAGACATTATACAAGGACAAAGGTTAAGTTAATCAATAAGCCACGCATAAACCAGTTTGGTTCTTTGCGATACCAGATGGAGTTCAGTTGCCAAGTCCCAGAGGAGTAGTCATCCTTTAAGATGTTTGCGCTTGACGCGAATTTGAACATACCCTGTGGCCTAATTATCAATACCTCCTCCAGTGTAACATACAGTACGGACCCCAGATGCTTACAGCGTAGTCTTGCCCCATTCTGCAGACGTGTGTCGCCAACAGACAGTGACCAGTTAGTATTCCGATCATGTTCCTCTAGTCTTTTCTATCAAATGCCAATAGGATTTTGTGTACTTCCGATCTACAGTTTTGCACATGATTTTTGCAGTTTTGCACCCATAGGATTTAGATTTCCTTTGCCATTCTTGGTAATCTCGTCCAATATTTCACTGTCCTCAATGGCTTTGTGGACTGACACCCAACAAATGTGAAGTTGTTTGCTTCTGGCAACACTTTCTACTCCTGCCCTACTTTTCTAGACCCTTCTGGCCGATATCGATACAAGGTTACTGCCTTGATTGCTGCTTGACTGTCTACGTAGATGTTGCCTCTGGACGCAGGTGCATTTGACGCCAGCTCCGCCACTTTCGCAATAGTAAAGACCTCAGCTTTAAATACACTGCAGTGGTCCGGTAACTTAAAAGGTTGCTTTATGCCTAATTCTCGTCACGCTCTATACGCCACGCCACGGTCTATAGGTGGCAGGTTAAGTACGAGTTTAATAGCCGCTGTTATAGTTGTTCTTAAAGCTCTTGTTGTGCACTGCGCATCGCGCCTCTGAACCCTTTCCATTGGCTTCCAGTAAATGGATACTACTGCACCATTGAGCAGAATAGATCTAACAATAGCTGATTAGCACCAGTGTATGAGTGAGGATCCCCCAGTTTGTGCCAAGCATTTGCCTACACGCATATAACGCATGATGGCTTTCCTCACTATTTTTTCCACGTTGAATTGTTGAGAGACCAATTTCACCTATCTACTTTTACATATATGTGTAACGCCATATCTATCTCGCTTTGTTTTTGGTGGTACATACAACTCTTAGCCTCAACATTTTGCGAGAGTATAAAAAACAATCAATTTTTGCAGTAATGAAAATGGCTATGTTCCTCCTGTAGCGGCAGAGTTCTGCTAACAGATTACATAGACCCGACTGTCGTGGGAACGCTTAGTTGTTAGGGTATAAATTGTCAAGCAAAGCGAGGGAAGTTGTATGTGAATGTTTCATAAGGCTCTCATGAATTATTTTTCGTAAATATTTTATTTCATTCAAACTGGTTTATTTAACAGGGAAACCGCTGTAATATTAATAAAATTTAGTTTATCTTTTCAAGAAAATAAAAACTTAATAATCTGCCAATTCTTTTTTATTAAAACAATAATTTTTAAAATTTAATTATTATGTATTAATTTCATTTTTATACTAGAATACTAGTTTTTTTGTACTCCAGGTACAGTTACATTCTCAATGTGGTCGGCTGCACTGCTTTACCAACCGACATGTGAAATAAAATGCAATAAACTGCAACAGTTTGAGTGCTCATGTGTGAATGGCATAGTTGTTAAGCAGCTATGGATCTAAAACTTGAACAATTCAATTAAAAGAGAAAGCGATTACTCTGACATAATGTATACTTTTTCTATATAAGAAAAAACGTTAACAATCCGGTTGCACCGCATATACAATACCCTTCACATAAGCAAATGCTTTCATACAAAAACTTAGTTTAGATACTTCAGTTTGTATGGCAGCTATATGCTATGGAGGCCCGAACTATTTCTCTGCAGTATGTACCATTACCTTGGACACTAATTCATGCCAAATCTTGTGAAGATATCTCGGCAAGTAAAAAAGTTTTCCATACAAGAACATGGTTTAATCCTTCTGTTTGTATGGCAGCTATGTAATGATCCGATTTGTGATTTGTATTTATAAATAAGCAATATATACAGCTATTTAATAACTTGTCAATAATAATTTAAATTTGTAATTTTGTCATATATCCGCTAGTAATTGAAAACACAGCACTAAAATTATTTTTTGTTTTTATTTATTGCGTTAGCATAACTTTTCTCTTAAAAATCGCTTAATTTGATTAAATTTACTTACAAATAGACATATTATTTATTGATATAATTTCATTTTATGTTTAATTTGTTGTTATATTTTGGCAAATGACATCTCTGTGCTAAGTAAATCTCACTGTTTCCCTATGTAAAAGACTATACATAAAGTTACTACACGGTGGCAAAGAGCTAGCAAGTGAGCACTTCTTACTTCGTTGCTTTAGAAATATTCTTTGAAATACATTTTGTTTAATAAGCGCTCACAATTGATAACGTTTTCGTTACTATTAGTGTTTTATGTACTAAACGCAGCAGACGAAGGTAGAATGCTGGTTTATTACGGTAAATACATATCGACACCTAAAGTGCAAAATAACGTGACATTCATAAGTTGGCAGGAGAGGGAAAAACGATGTAATAGAAACCACTCATATTGAAACAAAATTTGAGTTTTGGTTATAAAGTGGTTATAAATTGGTTATAAAATGGTTATAAAACGGCTATATATTGGTTATATCTGACAAAAGATGAAAATTTAATGCTACATATTTGTAAGCAATAAAAAACTTAATTTCGATTTTTTCAATGGTATGTTGTTTTGCATTTTAGGTGACGTTAGGTATGTTTGTATGTAGGTAAATTAGTTAAACACTGTTGCTACACAATTATTAAAAAAAAAATACATATGTATGTTTGTGTAATTGTAACGAGTGCGTTGTGCACACGCTCTGTTTAGTGTTACTACACTTACACATATTTATTTATGTACTATATCAATATTTAACATAATGTTTATGATTATTTAATGGAAGATTCAATTTTCTTTAAATACAATCCATGCAAACGTTTTATAAATCAAACACGTTACAACTGCTCTACTGTTCGTTTAACAGGCGTGCCGCTACATAATTTGTTGTTTTTGTACACATACATACACACATGCATGGATTTCATACATTTTATATAATAGCTGCCGCATTGTATTCAGCACTAAATCACTCATTCATTAAATATAATTGGTTTGCCTGTGAATTGTTAACAATTAAAAAGAGGAAAAATCTCAAAATGAAATTTGAAAATTTTTAATAATATTTTAAACATCCAAAATGTAATTATAAACTATAAATTGAGAAGCGCGAATTTCGAAAATCTAATCAAACGCACAAATTGGTAACAATTGGTTTTTATGTTTTGCAACTTAAATGTATATGACATTACTTAAACTAAACTCAGCGCTTGCAGCGCAGTTACGCGCTGTTAAAGCGTGTTTCGTTATGAATTTCCGTTAAACTTTATGCAACGCTGTCTGCTTGGAAGCTACAAATAGTTAAGGCTGTGCTCACAAAAACTTTATTTTTAATATACACACAGTTATATTAACGTTTTTATATAAACCTATTTGAAAAAAAAAACAAAAATTTTATATAAACTTATTAGAAAAAAATAATAACAAAATTAACCTATGGGCTTTTTTATAATGTATGTTTAATTTTCTTTTCTTTTCTCTTTTTGTTATTTTGTATTTTTTCTTAATGTTTTTTTTTTGACATTTTGTTAGCATAAAGATTCTTTACATACATACATATATAAAATTGTATTATTTAATTAGCTATATACTATCGCAGTCCATATTTGACGTCTGTCATTTCTTTTTGATGCGCTGCACGATCCACTCGAGCCCCTGATAAAGCCTGGTAATAAAGAGAAAGAGAGAGAGAGAGAGATGATTATTCATTTTAACTTAAAATAATGAACAATAGGTATGAATTTTATGAATAGCTAATGGTTTTTGAAGTGTTGACCAGGTAGTAAAATCGTCGGACTCAAGTCACCACCGATAATTTGCCAAAAGCGCTATCAAAGATCTCGGTTAAAGTTTCTATGCGTTTCGTAAGATCGTATTGACAAATCAAACCGAAACTATTGTGTATGCGTAACCCATAAAGTTTTAGATACCCATAAATGGGTTATTATAAAAATTTTAGGAAAAATTCAAAAATTAAATTTGCTAATTTCTCTTCCAATATATTGGAGTTTCGCTTGTTGTGACTTGCAGGATGTGCTTACAGGGTTACATATAATGCATTAAAAATATTCTAATTACGATGTGCATTAATATTTTTTGCTTTGTGATCTCGAAAATCTTCATTAAAAATAATTTTAAAATTTCCAATCCCGAAAATTGTTTTGAAAAAAAAACCCACATGCCGCTTGGAAAAATATTTTATTCCCAATATTATAATTAAATATAAAAAAACAACTGTTTTCCAATTTACATTTTTTCGCTGGCGTACTTCGTATTGTACCACTTCGTTCGTATTAGAGTTTGCACAAAGCCCTCTTCTACAATACTCTAGAGCAGTTTTTATAGAATTTTTTTTTTCAATTTTCAATTGTTCATAAATTTTTTTTTGATAACTCATGCCCAGCTCTTGACGATGCTACGGCTGCTACGATGCCGGTCTCTTTCGACCAATTCAGCGATTTTWTCGCAATTTTCGACGACAGGCCTTCCGGAGCGTGRCGCATCTTCGACCACCTCTACACCAGAACGAAAACGTTGAAACCATCGTTGTGCGGTGGAAATGGAAACTGTATCGGGTCCATAAACTGCACAAATTTTATTGGCGGCTTGAGATGMATTTTTGCCTTTATCGTAGTAGTACTGTTAAATATGCCGTATTTTCTCTTTATTTTGCTCCATTTTACGACGCTATAACTCACGAACGACTTAAAAGAACGACAATCAATCAAACACGTGTTAGCGCTTTAAATGAGCTTTCCAAAAAGGTATAGCATGATGCGATGAATAAAACTAGAACTACGCGCTCTCAACGCCAACTAGCGAAAATACCGTAAGACTTTTTTGACAACCTATACATTCAAACGATTTACATTTTAATTCTGATTTTGGGACTAAAACTTAAATTTTAAAATTTTAAGTCAAATGTTTTAATTAAAAAAAATTGCCACGCTGCTGCATTACAATTTTTTTAGTTTGTTTTTGATATATTTTTTTAAATAGTGGACAATTTTATTAAATTTAATTTTATTTTATTCACCGTAAGGCAAGAGTAAATTTACAGTTAAATATATTTTTCTGGGCACGATGTATTGTAGATATAAATATTTATATTTTACAAAAATTAAACTTTAGTAAAATGTATCTCAAAATCTCAAAAAAATGTGCACTTGAATTATGCAAACCTAATAATAAGCCAGCCACTTTGCATCATTTCGCTTTCGGTGAGATAACAAAAGCGGTTAAAAATATACTAAGCACTACTAAATTCTAAGAGGTCCAATCACGTTTATGAAGGGCATGAAAAGAAAGATTTATTTGTTATCTCCTCAGCACAAATCTATTAACAACAAATACGCATTTTTTTATTACGTTCGTCATAAGCGGCCATAATAAGTGCTTAAGTATGCCACTCAAGTTTCAAAGTCAAAAAAAAAGTTGGAGCTGATATTTACATGCAACGTTTTTTTTTTAATAAAACCAAAACAAACTGAAAACGTCTCGATTACGTAAATACACAAAAGCGTATAATTCGCGTAATACGTCAACACTGCCAAAACGCTTAAGCAAATAATAACAAAAAATCATGTTTGTTTATATTCTTTATGTTATATGTATGCATACCCCTCGCCGGTGAGCGCGCAACACGCCTGTATATGCCATTGATGTTTCTTAATCGAGGTTAAATCCAATTGACGTGAAATTTCCGCAGCTGACATAGCACCCTTGAGATCCTGCACAAAAGTGAATAAAAAGTAATTTAAATATAAATCAAAAATTCCCTTATACATATATAAATAATTAAGTATGTATGTAACAACAAACCTGTTTATTTGCATAAACTAATAGACTGGCTTTGCAGAGGTCTTCATGCTGTAGCATACGATACAGTTCCTCCCGCGTAACAGCCAAGCGTTCGCGATCCGTCGAATCGATAACCATAATAATAAACTGCGAAACAATGAAAAAAGCGGATATGCCGATGAATTGGCAACGTTTTTGTGTGTTAAAATTTCATTTAGCTCATACATACCTCTGTGTTTGTATAATACGTGCTCCAGGCGGCGCGCAAACTCTGCTGTCCGCCCAGGTCCCACACCAGAAAGTGTATATTCCGCCACACCACCTCCTCCACGTTGGAGCCGATTGTGGGGCTGGTGTGTACGACTTCATTCATAAGGAATTGATAGAGTATTGTGGTTTTGCCAGCATTATCCAAGCCAACCATCACTAATTTGTGCTCTGCGAACAAAAGAAGCAAATGAAAATGGAAATGAAAATGAAAAATTACTTTCAATAACAATATTTTATTATTCAATATTTCGCGCACTGCTGTTCATAAACACATTTTACTACAATAACTATCATGTTTTGCTTTCGTCGTGATAACGGGCCAATATTTCAAGTTGCTAATTGTGTAATAAATGCGAGTGCTTTCCTCGGCAAGTCAAGCGCAATAAAAAAAGTCGAATTATCAATAACGGCTGAACTTTAATAGTGTTGTACAGGTGTGATATTTATCTCAAGATTTTACACGATTTTTTGCGGAAAGTACTTACTATTATTTGCAAAAGGTTTTAGTAAAAATTTTCCTACATTTATTCAGACAACTTTGAAATACAAAAACAAATATTTAAAACACAAGGTAAATTGAGAGAGCTCAGTATTTCTCAAAGCATTTCTTAAAAAATTTCTTAGGTATTACAATTTATATTACGATTAAGTACAAATAAAGAGCTCCACATCCGATCTCCACATTCCCATTCATGCCGACTATAGAGGCCTTACTGTCCGAAAAGTAACTCCGCCCTAGAGAGGCCTATACCGCCACATAACTTTTTTCAGCACTGGAAAGGGAATGATGAACAACCCTAGCACTTTTTTTGCTCGCGTGGAAAATATCCCTTCCAGACGCATATATTATAAATGGCCTCTAGATATTACGGAATGAATTTCCACAAGCTTCTGTACAATTCTCCGCTCCAGCCGTCAAGTCTTGGGGACCGTTTAAACAAGCCCGGAAGCGTACCTTCAAGTCCTCTTGTGCTTGAGGTGTCTGTACCTCCGACCTGGGAAAGACAGCAACTAGCAGAACCTCGCACACTCTCTTCACGACCATAACAGAGCGCCACCGACGCGGTTGGTTTGCTATGATGTTGAGGAGTAACCGTAATTTGAACCAAATTATGATCACTAAGTCCCGCATGATGCCCAGCTGGTCTACCCTTAAATGCGAAGTTCTGGCAATTGGGTTCATTAACGAAACCGGCAACTCTGTGGCCTTCCTGACCGCACCTCTAACAGACATCTGATTTGGCCCTACACACAGCCCGGACACTGCTGTCCGGGCGCACCCGGAAGAAAAACTACTTAATGTAGTAACTTCAGGTTGACTGTCATGTCCAACCCCATCGCCTTTTATGAATATACTACTGAATGAATGAGGGTGGAAATTTAGTGATCGTAATTTGATTCAAATTATGGTTTCTCAAGCCTCAAGCACAAGAAATACCTGTCGGGTCGTCCAAAGCAAAAAAGTTATGGCAGACCTTTAGAAGTCTCCTTTTGATGGACAAAATTTCAAGATCAGTGAGATGAAATATCTGCAAAGATGTACTATAATCTTCTTTTGAGCTCGACATCGTTCAAAGCTTTCTTGCTAACTAGAACTTCTTACATGTTATAATCTAGTTTCTTGCAAACGCTAAAGTTCTCTATATTTTCTCAGAAAAAGCGAAGTAATGTAGTCAAAATTTCACTAACCGAATAAAAACTATTGATTCCACTCAAGTAACAATTAATTTTAAATACAATAAAATAATGCTCCCTAAACTGAACACGGAACTTAAAAAACTCAAAGTGTATTAATTTATAGTTAATGAAAACTAATTATTCAAAATTAGTCAAAAAAGATGTACAAGCAAGCCGAAGTGCTTCAGACCGCAGTTCGCCACAGTAGCGGCAAAATATTCATTCAAATGCACTCCCTTGAGATTCTAATGTACAGATATGTAAGTAGCTCATATATATTTTACAACAACACATTCATTTAAATGAAACACAAAAGCCGACAAGCATGTGGGTAAAAGTGCGTTTTATTAAAACAGCACAAATGGGAATTGAAGTGTAGTGTCATTGTAATAGGCAAATCGACAAAGAGAGAATGTGTCACTCATCAACGCTGGCGAAGAAGCACGCAGCCGAAACGTTTGTCAACTATATAGCACGTATGCATAGTGTCTGCGCCAAAAGTACCCAGAATTCTTCAATGCGGCGAAAACGGTGCAATTTTTCATACAGCATAACGCATTTTTAGATAATTGGAACTTTTAGTAAGAGAAAATAAAAAAATTTAAACGCGAAAAAAATTATCGAAACGCGTTATTCAAATCGAGCGACGCTAGTACTCGAAAACTGTGGCATATAGATGTTCACTTAACAGTTCAATTACCATAGCAAAACATAATAGTAAAAAAAAAAAAATTTTTTTTAGAAAAATTCAACATAGTTCCCTTCAAGGGTAATACACTAATTATACTTTGTGATACGATTTGTTCTTGCATTCGACGAAAATTTGTTCTCATCAAGCATTCTTTTGAGATCTGAGAACAGAAAATAGTTGCTAGTGGGCAGATCTGCAGAATGCGAAAGCAGTTCGAAGCGCCAATTCATGGCTTTTCGCCATCTTTTCACTTGCCTTGTCTTGTTAGAACAGCACAGCAAATTATGATTTTCTTGAGGGCCTAACCAATTAAGTTATGACAAAAGTAATAAGAAGTGTTTTTATCCCACCCGAAGTAAATAAAAAATTCCGGGCACTTATTGCACAGAATATGCGCGCATACAAATATATATGTATTTCAATTGATAAGAGGTTGCATGGCGTTCACAATTAGCGCATTGAATGAATTAACCTACGCACCAAGCTCTGTCAAGAGTTACAGTAATCGAGCGCGCTGTCAACTTTAACAATAACGCGATGTTTCCATTGTAAGCCTTAGACCAATTAAAGCTTGTGTTGCTACACATTTTTGTGGTTTCAACAGCTGCCTATTTAGTATTCAAGTGTAGCAATATAATTGTGCCACAATGTGATCATGCATACACATGTATGTAGGTATATATAATATACATTATATATACCCTATATATATTTTTGCTTGCATGTTACACATCGTCTGGTTTGGTGAGTTGGTGGTTCATGGGTTAATGATTCTTTCTGTTATTATTTTTGTGTTAAAAGTCGGTTGTCATTGGCAATTATTTCGAATTCTTTAGGCAAAATACCTGATTCCGAGTTCAAAACAACGCGCCAATCGCTTTTCCTCTTCGCTGATCGGCGCCAATTGGAGATTCCAACTGAAGCCAGGTTCTTCTCCACCTGGGCTTGCCAACGGAGCGGAGGTCTTCCTCTTCCTCTACTTTCCCCGACAGGTACTGCTTCGAAAACCTTCAAAGCATACATTCATACATTCGGACGACATGGTTTACGCCAATTTTCGATGTTGAATGTTGTCTTTGAGCTCCTCGAACGCTGCTAGTGAATTAGGGTAAACCCTTGATTTAAAATACCTCCAGAAAAATAATCGTAAGGTGTTAAAACGCATGAAAACGCATGATTTTCACAGCCATTTTATTGGGCCATCTCTCGAAATTAATGAGTCGCCAAACTTTGCAAGCAATCTGTGCATGTTTAGACGTGAAACACGAGGCGGTTCACCGTCTTGTTGAACATAGAGATCGTCCGCGTCGACTTTATTAAATTCTGGGGAAAAAAGGTTGGTCGACATCCCGTTAAAACGTTCGTTATTAATAGTAATACCATTTTCTGCCTCATTTCGGACGAAATAAGGGTCGATAATGACGCTGTATCAAAACAGATAGTAAATTTTTGGGGATTCAATAGCGTTTCCTGAAGCATACGACGATTTGACTAACCTTCATCTGAGAAAATGAGCCACCGGACAACATAAATTCGCATAATAATCTTGGCTAATTTCCAAACATTGAGTGCGACAAAATTTTAAACAAACAAACAATCATCGCCATCGCGAGATGTCAAAAACACGTCATCCCTACTTGTAGACGCTGTATAACTAATTTTGTAACCGCCAATCTCAAATAGGCAAAACAACATGAGTAATACTTACATATCTATATATCGAAACAATAAATTAAACTAGGAAAAAAGCGAGTAATCATTGGCACTGTCAATGAACCGCATGAAGGAAAGCGATGATCCAACAAAAAATGACAAAATGTCAATAATTGCACTGAGTTAGTTAAATATTTGAAGTGTGTAAGTTTGTGTTTAAAAATCAATGTCATTGCCATATAAGTTAAGCAATCGAACAGCAAATGATATTAGTTATCTTTATTGGGCGAAATAATGGGCACATTTCCATTTTAATATTAAAAGCATAAGTCTACGAGTGATCGAGAAATCGTTGAAGACACGTCTCGTTATGGACGCTTTCCATCTCTTCTATTGCTGAAAATATTAAACAAGTGAAAAATTGCACCATGGTAGCACGAGATCTCGACATCTCTCGCGAGTCCATTCCAATGATTTTGGCGATAAAGCTAAATTGTTTTCATAAAGTTTATCGTAAAAGGAGCCAAAACTAAAAAAACAACACGCCAAAGCCGCACGAAAATTAAATTGATGCTTATTGTTTTTTCAATATTCGTGGCTTGGTGCATCATGAATTTCTTCCGGAAGGACGGATTTCTATTTGGCCGTATTGAAGCGTCTGCGTGAGAACATCCATCGAAAACGGCCGGAATTGTGGCAGAACAATTCAAGGCTTTTACACGATAATAATGCACCATCGCATCGAACCACGATTATGACCGAGTTTAAAGCCAAAAAATCCAATTAATGCCATTGATCAACCACCGTATTCACCAGATGCTGCATGGCACCACTGCTACGGGTTGTCAGAAGTCGCATACGTGCGGCAACCGAGAGCCGGCACCTCCCAATCCAGGGTGTTAATCGACTCTCGTACCCCTTTTTCGATTTGCAGCCAGGAGGAGAATTTAACTAACACACTGCCGAATCGGGAAATAACGGTGCCCTTAGCGCGTCCTACAACCCTACAACAGCGTGAACCCGACAGTTCACCGCGTTAAGACAAAGACAGACAACAATTCAAAAACAAGCCAAAAAGTATAGCTAGACAACGGATACTAGGAACGACAGAGGGCGACGATATTAGTCTACAACATCAGCATCGCTA